AAACAAAAAAATTGTAAATATATAGATTGTCAATTTGCTTATGACGTTATCGATACATGGAGATGAAATTTCAGATATATTGCATGGACTTGCCCATCTTATTCATGGACCATCATATTAACTTATAGGTTTATAAAGGTATTATCGAAAGATTTATTCGAATTTAACATTCGATATCCCCATTAACATGTTGATATAATAAAAACTCAGTGGAATCTATATTCACAATATGCTGTCAGATACGGTAAAAATAATGATCCACCACCATCGCTTTCTACAATTTTGTTATTCCCCGATGACAATGTATGGAACTTTTAAGTACGACCAGTACTAGAAGTTTATCATTTTCCCATTTTTCTTCAAGTATAAGTAGTTTATCATTTGGATCTTCTCAGATCTCGGCGATCAAATGAAAAATAATATTTGATATTAATTTTTATGGCTAGCATCGGAGGCTACATTTAGGCGGTTAGAAGGATCTGTTGATGAAACAAGCAGGTTGAAAAAAAATAAAATTTGAAGCTCTAATGTGCTTGAAGTACAACAAGATAGAAACTATTGAATACAAGACAACATGGCTAGTACAATTGATGAAGATTTTCAACAATTATAACTTTTACACATTTTTGATACACTAAGCTTTAGATTTATTATTATACACTATACATTGACATTTCATTTTAAAAAAAAATTATACACAAAATATTAGTTCGTGTACAATTTTAACTCCGCTTATGTATTGTAATTGATCCCAAGGCCGAATAAAATTGGAGAGTGTTTACAAATTTATAATTTCTTTGACAACATAAATTTTTATGTTTAATATTTCCTTTCAAATTTTTGTTTTCATTATACCTCGGGTGTTAAAATACAAGTCCCTCAATCAGCTCATCTCACCTCATCAAGGGATGAGCCAAGCCCACATTTGGTAAAGCAGGGCAACTCCCACTCTTCCCACTTCACATGCAAGCATGAGCTGAATCACATGGTGGGTCGAGTTACACTTGGTTCTCTCTCATTTTATTTCTTACTCTTCTAATTCAGTTACACTTAGTTATCTCTCATTTTATCTCACACTCTCACTATAACTAGGGGCGGACCAGTGCGGGTGGTATTAGTAAAAGTAAAAAAAAAAAAAATTATAACACAAACATTATAATAAAATGAAATATCGTATTTTCTCCGACTTCCAACACTTGGTTTCAAAATTTTCCCCAACCAAGCAATAGCAACAACAATCAACACTTGTGGTTATTCACTTCATATTTCTTCCCCTATAAATAACTAATAAGCGAGGTAGTTACCCAAAAATATCCATTGGCCATCCACCATTGCATATACTCTACACTTTACTGTCTACAATCTATAGCCAATATTCAACAGACTACAGCCAATACTCAATAGCACTATAGCAGATGCTAGATGATTGATGAATATGAATTGAAATTATAGAAATTAGAAAGCTCACCTACAGTACCAGATGAACGTTGGATGCTGGGCTGGGAGCCTAGGCCTGTTTATGTGGTTCAGGGGACGTGTGAGTCTGTCTGCGACAGTGTGTGGATGCAGTGGTCGGCGTCGGCGTGGATGCAAGAGTTGAGGGGCGTCAGGCGTGCGTTTTCTCTTTTGATGCAGCCGTCGGTGTAATTGAATGTAATGAGATTATAAGGGCTTGTATCTTTCCTATTTTGGGCTAAATAATTGGGTTTTTGAAAAAATTGAGGCAACCCAAAGCCTAGTGCGGGCATCTGCCTAAACCCTGACTATAACATCTTCTAACTTTTTCACTCTAAGTTCTTTCTGAAAATCATGGCTAATTTTAATAGGTTTGAAACTCATGTATGTGGTTTGGAAAATTCCTTGTGAATCTATGTTGAGGTTTTTTATTTAGAAATGAGAATAGAAGAGATTTCAGAGGAATTGTGTAAATATTTTTTTTGAAACCCTCCTTTTAGATTTTTGATTGACTACTTTTAATGTAAGCAAAGTTAAAATTGTATATTGACAACTTGTTAAATGTACAATTTTTTTTTTAAGTGAGTAGCATTAAAAATGACAAATTATGGTGAACCTAAATATCATTTATTCGATCAAATACTATTTGTGCATATTTATCTTGGACTGGGTACTCTATATTTTCGCAATCCGTTATATACATTAAGGTCTCTGGTATGTTTTCTTTGAGTCTTGATTTGTACTTGGACAAAATCATGCCGCTAATAGTATACGTTAATGCTACAATATTAATCAGAGATGTTAGAAGATCACATGCATAAGGAAAAGAATAAGATATTGACTCGCGTTAGTTCTCCAAAATTTTAGAAAATCTAAATCTAATGAATCGGCTGGGTCCATTATCGTAAACATGTTAGAAGTAAATTATCTAGCTAATTCTATCTGTATTTCTCCACATCTATATTCGATGTACTTAGGTTTTAGGAGAAAGAAGAAGTAGCAGCACATGTATTCATTTTACTACTACTAACCATTATTAGTAATACTGAATGACATTTAGCTTCTAACTTTACATTATTTCTAGGGGTGAGTACGGGTTGCCGTCTAACATTCATACCAGATCTTTGAGTATATAAAGCAACAAATACAGAAGTACAACAAAATATTTGCACATCATTATAAAGCATGTTAATAGACTATTTGGAAAAAAAAAATCATTACCAATGACCATATATGCTATATGGAAGATTGAGAATAAGAATGCAGTCAAAAAAATTTGGGAATATAAGTGTAATAATAAGCGTAAATTGTAGACATTTATTTAAAAATTTAACCATCCGTGTTTAAATAATTTTGATTAATATCTAATCTAAACTATGCTAACTCTATAACAAATAATTTTGTTAGGTTTATATTTTGTATTGACGATTCTGTGAACAAATTGACCAAGTTGAATAGTTATAAAAGTTTAGGGACTAAATTGTAAAGTTTCATAGTTGGTAGAATAGGATTAGGGTTTGAACAAGAAGAATTCATGCTGAATTTTCACTAGTTGCTCGAGCGACTGAAGCAGAACCTACTTCGCTTGATTCTCGCCCCACTGTCGCTCGAGCGAAAGACCCTTCGCTCGAGCAAGAATGCCTCTTTGCTCGAACGACATATTTATCTGGAAAACCTAATTTTCCTTTTCCGAGATTTTAAGTCGATCCATACAACCTAATTCGTCCAACCTATATATTGAAGGTGCCGTATTTTCTGTGAGATGGATTGAACAACATATTATTCAAGAAGAATACATCCTACACAAGATTCAAAGTTCAATCCTTCATTGTTCATGAGCATTTTTCATTGAAACCATCAAAGCAATTAAATCAAACACTGAATTGGTTTCTTCACTTAGATCTACTGTAAGGTTGTGTCGTCAACTTTGCTGCATTAAAGATCAAGGAAGAGTTTGAAGAACGAGGAGTTCTTGGACAAGATCTATAGGAGATAAACTACGTAAAGAGTCAAGATTAGAGTTTGTGCGCTCATTCCAAGAGGATTGCTTTACAAAAAAGAGGAGAGTTGCTTCATACTTCAGACAGGAAATCAGAAAGCTTGTGTTTTCAACTTTGCTGGTGGTCTGTAAGTTTTATTGACAGTTTATAGTGGATCTTTGCCTAACAAAGTGCCTAGAGTTTTTCCCACGTTGGGTTTCTTCATGAACAATTCCGGTGTTGTTTACTGCTTTGGGATTACTGCGGTATTTCAAGATAGGTTAAATTGAATTGTTTGACTAATCACCTAGACATAATTAACTTATGACTTGTTGCATGTTAATTAATTTTAATTCCACATTTACGCCTAATCACCCCTCTAGGTGTAGTAGGTCGAATCTTACGTTTCTTAATTGGTATTAGAGCCTAATCTCGTGTCATGGCCCTTATTTGATTGTCTAGATGAGTAGTTCGTTGTCTGTGCTACCATATTTTGATGGCAGTAATTATGCCTACTGGAAGGTTAGAATGAGAGCTTTCTTGAATTCTATGGATGAGCGTATATGGCTGAGTGTAGTGAATGGTTGGAGTGCCCATAGTACTGCTGTAATAAACGTAGTAATCCCCACTCCCATTGCTAGTTGAACTAGGACTAATTTAGATGAGTGTAACTGGAATAGCAAAGCTTTACATACCTTATTTATGGCAGTATCCCCTGAAAAGTTTAGAACAGTGTATTTGGAAACTACCCATGAGGGCACTAAGACTGTGAAAAACTCTAAATTACAAATGTTGACTTCTAGGTTTCAAGAACTTAGGATGAATGATGATCAGAGATTTGATGAGTTCTATGATAAATGAACGATATTGTGAATTCTAGTTTCAATTTAGG